GATATCGGTGTAGATCATGAAGCGCAGGTGTTGCAATACGAAAATACTATTGCTGAATTAAAAAAAAGTATGGAGGTATGTATTTTCTTGTTGAATAAAACTCCAATTTCTTATTTCTCATTCTAGTTGTTTTGTACAATGTTTACTCTTATAAATTTCCCTTTGAGAAGCAAAAATTTTTCCCTCTGTTGAACGTTCATTTTCTCAATTGTTTTTATTCCAGAATTTAAATCTGGAGATAGTTCAATTTAAACGCACACAGGAAACTATTGAAGCTGAAAAACAACTGTTGGAAAATAGAACTGTGTATCTCAAAGAAGAAATTACTAAAAAAAATGCGGTATGTTGGATTGTAATTATTGCATTAAAATTTAGCAAAAATTTGGACCTTTATTATGATAAAATGCTCTTCTAAATCTTGCTATTATCTTTTTGTAGATGATTGAGGAACTTGAAGCAAGTCTTGAGGAACATGCACAAGTAGCAGTAGCCTCAGTATCATCGTATACTATTGATGATCAAGTGCTTCGTCAACTGTTTATGTCTTATTTTACTGCTGATAAAGACAAACAACCAGAAATTGCTGTCTTGTTGGCTTCTGTTTTAGGTTATTCACAAGAGGTAATTTTTTGGCATAATTTAGCTACCTAGTTCTCTCTGGATATGAAAGAGGAATATATTGGCAATTTTAAATTTGGCTGATGAAAAAGCGACTAGAATGAAAAATATGATCGCTAGACTATTTTTTGGAAGTCCAATTCTTACTATGTTGACTTCTTTACTATATTTTTTGACCTTTTTTTCTTTTGCTTTCAGGAAATTGCCAAAATTAACGCTGCTAATCATTCCTCGTCGAGGGGGTGGTTTGGTTTTGGTGGTTCATCGAAACTCCCTCAGCAGAATATTTCTTTGGCAGAACAATTTGTTCGATTCCTGGAGAAAGAATCCTTAACAACACCTCACTCTCTTCCGGTTCAGGTTAGTGTCAGAAAAAAGTTCAGATGTTTGTGTAAACGTTAATAGAAATTTCACCTTTTCATTGGTAGTCTGGCAAAACAAAAAGGCCATAATATTTATTATGCAAAAATATGTTGATGGCGTAAAATATGGAAGAACAAACTGAGAGGAAGCGCTTTTTTCATTTCAGTATTAGAATGCATGAAATTCCAGGCATCCAAAATAACAATTTATGGAACTGGTGACAGAATATTTACTCCTGCTAAATCAAGGAAAATTTTGAAACAAAATTCGTGAATTTGAGTGATTGCAATTTTTTTTTAAAACAAAGTCGATTTCTGAATTTAATAAACTGTTTTATTTTCTAAGCAGTGAATTCATGATCAACTCCAAATAACTTATATATAGGTCTACCTTTAAGTTCTATCATCCTATTGGATATCTTATGTGCTATGAGTGATGCAAACATTTCTGATGACATTACATGCAAAGTAGGAAATGTGAAAATGGGGGGGGAGACATAACATGAATATAAAATTTTTAAAACAAGGCCAACACTAGAGAGACGTTTTCATTGCCAAATGTGGAGGAAAATTAATTTTTCATAAAGATTGATGAGTCGAGTAAAACTACGTAAGATTATTATTCTTTTCGGTAAAGCAATTTTTTAAAAAGAAAAAACAGGTTTTTGACTTTTTTGCTTCCTTCTTTTACTTATTGCCAAATTAAAGAATATTAGTGATTAAAAAGTTTCTGTTTTTCAGCCATCTGAAGAAAAGGAGACAATACGTTCCAGTATTCCACTAAAATGTTCAAGGACATCATCTGCAGCTGATTTAAACTCAATATTGAATACATGAAATTTGGTTGTAGAGAGCTTGTGCAACATGCAATAATTTGACGCATAGAAGTGATCATTTATTGTGCTTTTCAGGTCAAACGAACAATAAGCTAGCAATTCACATAAACAGCATTATTAAAACTAATTCAGAATATGCTTAATTTCAAGAACGAGTGCATAGAATGATAACTTATGGGATTCACATTATGTACAGATTTTGATTCTGTGGCTATCCGTGTTTTGTTTGTTATCATTTACGAATAATTCTATCAGGCTTTATCATAGTGGTATCTATCGAATATTGCCAGTGTCTTTCATTCTTTCATTGGCTTCATTTGTTTGCTTCTGCATTAAGCTCATAGTCGTAGCATTTTATTTATGAATATTAACTTTTTTTTTTTTTCTAGCCTTAACGGGTTGACACTTGTAGTTGTGATAATAATGGATTTGAAATTTTTGAAGATATCTCTCTGTATTATATTCAGTTGTTATTGTTTGATGCCTCGAAATTCTCTTCACCTGAATCTTTTTGCTTTAGGTACAATATTTTAGACCGTGATGAATTAGCCCTGTAATCTAATTTTATATGGTTTCATATTTCTTTTCACTAACTATGAATAATTGAGGAAAGAAAAATTTAATCTCATTTTAATCACAATTCTCAGATGTAAGCATTCACATTAGCTATCATCAGTTATTTTATTAAACTATTAACCCGCATCTCCTTTCTAGTATTACATCATGAGTTATCAGTTAAAATTTTGACATACGTTGTGTTTGAAGTTTGTAATTCAGGTACGAAATATATTGGTTTAACGGTTTGTATACAATTTCAATATTTTGTACGAATTCATAATTGTATGATTGATACTAATATTAAATGTACCGTGTTGATATCTAATGAATGACTTTTCACTTCTTTACTTATAAAACTTTTACGGTTTATTCTTTTTCTTTCAGTACAGTCAGAAAGGTCTGACTTTTGATATGCTCTAGCAAAGCTGTAGGTGTCTCTTTTTTTTTTTTTCTTTAATCTTAGAGAAAGGAAGGAGTTAGAAGATTAAAGATTTATCATTAATGATTTAGCAGTTTTTGCTTGTTAGCCAAACGACAGATTGAATTTAATAATGGATTTTGTCGATTTATCAGTGTGGAATAATCCATATGAATTTTGACTCTAAGAAATAATTGTTTCCATTTATTGAAAGTCATCGTTTTTCCCTCAAATTATTTGTCTATTAAGATTTTATCAAAAGTATAGTAATAAAATACAAAAGAATGATGACAAACAAGTTGAATGGTAGTTTGCATCGTCAAAATAATATCGATAATGAGTTAACCACTCATAAACAAGAGGAATAATGTTGACCTGCAAAAAATGACTGTGAATCTTTGAAAGGTCAATAAAGGAAGAGAAAAAAAAGAAGCGGGAGAATCAACAGAGTGACCAATGTCCAGAATAATTTCATCGATATTTCCATTAAAAGACATAGCTTCTCATAGAAATTTTCATCCTCTATTATCATTTATTCTTCCCTTATCATTTAATCTGATAAATTCTTCTCTTATCACTTAATCTGATAAGTGAATTAGTCATTGTGATAAATTTGTTGAGTAAAAAAATTATACATGAATCATTATTAATAGTATTTCTCATAATGTTGTAACAAAGAAGAAAAAAGTATTCTTAGTGCATTTACTCGTTCATACAGAGATTAATTTAACTTTTGTAGTAGAAATTTAAAATTTGTAACAAAATGAAGAGGAAAGATTTCTTTACAACATACATATTTAATTTTCAATTTTTTTTTTTTAAAAAAAAAAAAATTTCATATCTATCAACTATATCATTGAAATTAATTTCAATGATAGCTCATTTGTTCATTTATTTAAAAAAAAAAAAAGAAGACGAAGAAAAAAAAAAGACAAAAAATAAGTGAATTCTTATCACTGTAATAACCTGTTTGTTAAATTTTTTTCTTAATTTTTTTTTTCTACTTTAAATTTTTTTTCTTTTTTTTTTGTTGTTGTTACAGTTAAATGTAGTATAGTGTAATCTGTTTATTTAAAAAATATAAATAGGTGAATGCCATCAACAAAACACAGAATATTAGTTAGCAGTATGAGTTTTAAATTTAGGGAAAGAAGATAGGATAGGTACTATTTAAACAAAAAAAAAAAAAATATTACTGTTGCTAAACAAATAAATAAATGAATAACAAACAAATGAAAAAGTATTATCTAGTGAAATGGAATATTTTGTTTTCTGAATATATCAAATAGAAAATATATTATTGTTCATGAATCATAATTTAATAATATTTTGTTTAATGATGATGAGTAAGTGAAAATTTTTTACATTTTTATATTTTGATTAGTCTTGTAAAATATTTTTCTCTTCTACACTTTTTTTTTATTGTTTTATTTTTGCTAGGATAAGTTGAATGTTTAAAAAAAAAAGAGGAAAAATTACTAATGTTGGTTATATCAGAAAATTAGTTTAGTTTAGATTTATGCAGCAAAAAATTTTTGTATTTTCTAAATATTTCACATTTTTTAATTCTTATTTATTGCAAAATTTTAATATTTCAAGAGCACATACAAAAAAAAAAAACAAAAAAAACGAAAACAAAAGAAAAAAGGAAAAAAAGAAGTAATAATAAGAAAAATAAAAATGATATTAAATTCATATTAGACTATATAGTTTGAGAATTTTTTCTTTCGTTTTTTAAATTCTCTTTTTTTTGTTTCATTTTTATTATTACATTCTATTTTGTTACTTTTTAAATTTTAGAAATATTTGATAGTTTTGTTACAAATGTAAAAAAAATTCTAATAAAAATGTGGAGTTAGCATTTCCTTGAATTTGTTAATAATAAGAATTTAAACGATTACATATTACATTTTTATTGTTTGAATAAATTTTTTGAATTTTGAGTAATTGATATTATTGATAATATTAATATTATTGTTATGCTAATGTAACACTATTTTCAATTATATCATTAAATTTTTTGCTATTTTATTTAATTTTTATCAATGATATAACAAACGTAAATAAATTTAAAAAATACGAAATTAATTACATAATTATGAATAATTCTGCTAAAATCTTTTTTTTAGATTGCTAACCTTTTGTAAAAACGTTTTAAAGAAAGAAAAAAATAAAAATTAAAATTAAAAGAAAATGACGAATGACAAAATGGTTCATATTCATAATACAGCACTGGAAAAGCAATCCGATGATCATTTTCATCATCTTGGAATTACGAAAAATTCAACTGATCTTCCGAAGATATTTGGCGATGTTAAGGTTATACACCTTGGAATTTATACAATTTTTAGTCTTTAAAACTAAGCTATCTTCTTTTATTAGCATTAAATTTAATAAGATTAGAGAAAATTAAGACTTAATTAAGGGGAACACTAAAAATTGAAATACTGAATTTATTGATTATTACTAAAAGTATTATAGTTTACATTTTAAGTTTACATAAGTCAAACTACTCGTTCATAGTCCAACTGAATATGCGATATATTTATTTATTTAAATATTCATTTTTTATCAAAATGTTATTGCTGATTAAATGTTATCTATAAGACATATATATTAATAAAATATAATATTTAACTCTTAAATAAACCATATTATATAATTATTAAAAGTATTCAGCCTACATTTTTAAAAAAATTTTTTAATTAATTTATTCATCTTCTTAAATTACCCTTTAAGACATATTTTTAAAAAGTACACATTTTAAAAAAAAAATTGCAAATTTGCAGCTGAGATATTTTTAGTCATTGTAATCATTTAGTTATTTAAATGTAGGTAATTTGCTTTTTTTATCATTATGTAAAAATGGGTACATAATCATTTACTGTGGGTACTGATAAATGATAGTAAATAGTTTTACATAGACTTGCAAGCATTTCATGTAATAACTTGCATGCAAACTTGCAAGTTTTGCAGTTTCTCTGCATGGGTGGAAGCATGAAACGAATGAAAAATTATGCGGAAGTATTCGCTAAAGAATTGGGTATAAGTATGTCTGATAATTTAAGTACAACTGATCGTTATTCAATGTATAAAACAGGTCAAGTACTTTGGGTTAATGTTAGTTTTTGTTTATTCAAAAATACCTTTACTTACATATAAAACAGGTCAATTACTTTGGGTTAACATTAGTTTGCTCACTCAAAATATTTTTACTTATATATGAAACAGGTCAAGTACTTTAGGTTAATGTTAGTTTTTGTTTATTACAATATCTTTACTTATATTTATGTATATTTCTTTTTTTTTTCCATCAAGCAAGCAACGAATAGATAATATATAAAAAAAGATATTTAAAAAAAAATTAATTTGTTAAATTATAATTTAATTGTTTTCATATTTTATTAAATATTTGTTTTTCAATTAAAATATGTTTAAATATTAGAAAAAAAAAATTATATTTCTAAAAAAATAAGAATGTATTGTGGTTTTCTTTTTATGTTTTCTTTCTTTTTTTTTTATCGATTATGTTTAAAAGTAATTTAAGAAAAAACAAGTGCAATCATTAATAAAATGTAAATAATATTTACATTTGAAATATTAAATATAGCATGGCATTGGTACACCATCAACAAGTATTGTTATCATTGAACTAATCAAATTACTCCATTATGCAAATGCAAAAGATGTAGTAGCAATACGATTGGGTACCTCAGGTGGTATTGGTGTACCACCTGGTACATTGGTACTTACAAATGGAGCATTAAATGGTGAACTACATGACAAATATGTTCAATGTATTATGGGTAAAAAGGTTTGATGTTTTTATATATATTACATTAAAATTCTTTTTATACTTTTTAAAAATTATAAATAAATTATATTTTAAAATAATTGTACAGTTTATTAATTTATTGCAGATTTTACGAACAAGTGTCTTCGATGCAGAAGTGTATCATCAATTATATAATGTAGCACATCAATTACAACTACCTGTTCAAATTGGAAAAACCTTAAGTGCTAATGATTTTTATGAAGGTAATATCATGTTTACAGCTTTTTTTTTTTTAATTTCAATTATTCTCATTTTAATAAATTGATATGAAAAAAATAATTCCAAAAAAAAAAAAATTTTTTTTCCAGAAAAAATTATTCTAACTAAATCTTTTTTTCTTACAAAAGAAAAATGATCTTTAATTTTTTTTTTTTGTTTTTCGAATTTAATTTATTTTTGTTAAAATTTTAGAAATAATAAAATAATAATTTTAAAAAAAAAAATGGAAAAATTTTTAGAGCAAACAAGAATGGATGGTGCATTTTGTGAGTATACAGAAGAGGAAAAATTTGCATTTCTCAATCATTTGCATAAATTGGGTGTACGAAATATGGAAATGGAAGCATTAGGTTTTGCAGCATTATTTAATCGTGCCAATATAAAAGGTAAAATAAATTTTATTAAATAATAATTTATCTCTAAAATAATATAATAACTTTTTTTTTTAAAAAAAAAAAACAAATATTTTTAAACTTTGTTTTAAATTTTAACTAATTTTATTATTGAACAATGAATATTGTTCTTTTATTTAAAAAATGTTAAAATAATTAAATTTTTTATTCTTTTAGCAGCAGTAATTTGTGTTGCTTTATTGGATCGATTGAAGAGTGATCAAGTATTATTGGGACATAATGATTTAAATGAATTTGAAATGCGTATTTTCAAAGTAATCAGTACATATATTAAACAACAATTGAAATTATACTAAATTTTATTTTATTTCATTGTTTTTTCTTTGTTTTTTCAAAACGTAATATTTATCAATTGAAGGTTAAATAGGTAAGTAAATGATTTTTTTAAATAAAATTAAAAATAGAAATGTTGAGAAAAAAAGGTGGGTTCAGATTTTTAAAGATGAAATATTACATTTTACAAATGAGCATTACTTACTTCGTGCACTTTATTTTCCTATTTTTAAAAAAAAAATCTGAAAAAGAAATGAAAAGGACCATATTGATTTTTAAAATTGATAAACATGGTTTTCGTAATTTAAATTTGCAATTCAGATGATTTAGACAAATTCCATTGAATCAAATAAAAATCAATTAAATCTATCACTGAAACAAGTAGCGATCGAATAAATAATCCATCATTAAGTCTGATAAAGGTCAAATAATCTGCTATTAGTTTATTCCTTTTTTTTCTAAAAAATTGAACTCAGAAATTAGAGTATTCTTAAGAAAATTAGAATATTCGCGAATTATTAATAAAAGAAAAAGTAAAAAAGTTTTTTTTGAAAGTAAATATGAGCAATAAAATAATTTATTGCTAGCAATGCGTCTATAAAATGATAATTTCTTCTTATCATATCAATTATTTACATCAAAAAAAAAAAAAAAATAACGTAGCGGAACGGATGAAATTTTTTTTACGTCTAGAAAATCAAATAATTATTCATTCCTTTATCATTATTTCTAATTTTTTTTGTATGTTCCATCTAAAATATTTTATATTCTATGCTACTTTAGTGTTTATTTATTGTATTATTATTTTTTATTTGCAAAATTAAATTTTTTTTTTTTTGAAATAATCATTTTTTTACTACATACTTAACACATAAATAAATGTAATTCAATAAAATTAGTTAATTGTTTTGAAGAAAAAAGAAACAATAAACAATAAGCAAATTTGGCAAATAAATGTTTTCCAGTTTTTATCAATATTTAATTTCTTTTTTAACAGAGTAAAATTTAATGATAATAAATTTATTTTTAACGGTAATAATGATGCAGAATTTTAACAATTTTTAATAAATTAACTTTTTAAAACTCTAATCAATCAAAAGTTACATTTATTAATTCAATATTTTCATTAGATAAAGCATTTCTAGCAAATATTATACGCAAATTTATTTATTTACTATTCTTAATAACCAAAGATCAACTTTGATTTAACATTTTTTTAAAAAAATTTTAAAGCCTAATTTTTGTACAAATATATAAAAAAAAATGCTTTAAACAATGCAATTTCAAAAAAAAAAAAGAAATGAATTCTTTCTTTTTCAATAAATTTGAAATTAACTTACATAATCATATGAAGAAATTATAACAATAATTTAAATTAAATTGTATAATTGTGTAGCAATAATTTTGTTCAAAAATAGTGCTAAATAAATATAAAAATTGAAATGATTATACAAAGTTAGGAGAAAAATTATGTAATTGCTTAAAGTTATATGAATTTTTTAGTTATGAAAAATGATGACATAATGAAAATGTACATTTGATTAGGACATTCATTTCAGTAAACATTTCAGGATGATATAGTTTGGTGCCAGAAATGTTATATGTAATCAAAATTCATTAAATTGAAATTAACTTGTTTAATTGTAAATTTTAAAAAAAAAAATAAATTCACAGATTTGCGAGTATAATAAATAGTGTTGCATTTAAGCAAAAATAACAGCTCATTCATCTGATGTTAAATTAGATTTAAAATAAAAGAAAATATTATTAATTCGGAAATTTAATATTTAGTCAATAAAAATAATTTTATCATAACGAATCTTAAATATCTCAAAAAGGCTATAAGGCGAACTATTCTACCTGAAATTAGCTAACTTTATCACTGCATTGCTGATGGGAATGCTTTCTGAAATAATTGCTTAACAGTAATCGGCCATCCAGCAATGATCGATATGATAATCCGGCAATAATCAATATGATTATCTGGCAATGGCTGATAAGGCTACCCAGCAATGATAGACATGACTGTGCGGAAATAGCTGATACCGTCAGTTAGCAATGTTCGATATGATTATCCGGAAATGGCTGATACCGTCATCTAGCAATGATCGATATGATTGTCCGGAAATGGTTGATACCGTCATCTAGCAATGATCGATATGATTGTCTGGAAATGGCTGATACCGTCATCTAGCAATGATCGATATGATTGTCTGGAAATGGTTGGTACAGTCAGTTAGCAATGATCGATATGATTATCCGGAAATGGCTGATACCATCATCTAGCAATGATCGATATGATTGTCCGGAAATGATTGATACAGTCAGTTAGCAATGATCGATATGATTATCCGGAAATGGTTGATACAGTCAGTTAGCAATGATCGATATGATTATCCGGAAATGGTTGATACAGTCAGTTAGCAATGATCGATATGATTATCCGGAAATGGTTGATACAGTCAGTTAGCAATGATCGATATGATTATCCGGAAATGGTTGATACAGTCAGTTAGCAATGATCGATATGATTGTCCGGAAATGGCTGATACAGTCAGTTAGCAATGATCGATATGATTATCCGGAAATGGTTGATACAGTCAGTTAGCAATGATCGATATGATTATCCGGAAATGGTTGATACCAGCTAGCAGTATCAGTTCATTCCATGTGCTATACTTGCTATAGCTATTTGCACTTTACATTTATCTTTCAGTTACCAGTTGAAACTGAAATGTTCACGTTGCTATAGAAACATCAAAACGAGAATGATTAGCACATTTTGCATTTTATTCGTTTTATTTTCAGCTAATATTATAAAATCAATTTAACTTATTTATTATTAAATTTGATTATAGCATATTAGAACACTTGCGTGACCTGTTTTAGAATCTTCCTCTTTCTTCTTATTTGTTTGTTTATTTAAATGAAAATAATTTGTTTATTTTTTTTTTTTTTTTGGTAGGATGACAGATAAGCAAGATATTGTAGCACATTGGTCGGTACCTGTACATGATCGAATATATGAAATTGAATTTGAGCATGGTACTGCAAGTGGTAAACGAGTTATACGAGTTGATGGAAAAGTTTGTTTACTGAAAAATTCTTTTCTTTTCATTTTTTCGTTTTTAACTTCATAAATTCTTTTTTTGTTTTCTTGATTTTTAATTAAAATAGAAATATGCCTGAAAAAAGATTGTTTGAATTTAATTTTATTTCAGCATAAAACATTTTAGCACTAATGAAAATTATCAAAAGTTTAAATTAATTGAATGATATTAGAAAAAATTTTTTCTTTCATTTTTAAAATTAAGTTAATAATAATTAATACATTGTATTTTTCTGTTTGTTTCAAAATTTTATATCATTTATCGAATAATATTTTAGGAAATTTTGAGAAGAAATTGGATGTTTAGTCTTGTTGGTAAAGAAATTTTTGATATTGGCAAATTTAAATGTGTGATTAATGTGGAAGCATTGGGAACATTTTTATATGAATATACATTGGAAGTAAATGGTAAACCATATGAAAAATTTCGAGAAGAAGTTGCAAAAAAGTTAAAAAGTTGGACAACAATTTTGGATGGTCAAGAGACACGCATTTGCTTAGGCTTGTCATACCTTTTTTTTTTCTAACTTTAATTTTCAAATGCTTTTTCTAATTTTGAAACATTTAAAAATGAATTATAATAGAAATTTAACAAAATGATGAAAAGTTTGAAATAGCTTTTGTTTACGTATATTCATAAAATAAAAAGTACTAAATGCCATTTCAGAAAAGATTTAGCATAAAATAGTGTTATTTTTAAAATTCACCTTAAAATAATAATAATGATCATATTAATTATTATAATTATAATATCAAAAAAAAAAGCTTAAAATAATAACAATAAAATAATAATTAAATATACTTTTTCCAAATAAAGATAAATAAAGTAATACTTAAATATATTTTTTCCAAATAAAGATAACATTTTCTTTTCTTTTTTTTAGATAAAGGAACAATGGATATTTGGGTGAATGGTCAAAAAATGAATACTGCGGTAAGAAAATTTTTACTCTAATATTGGAAGTAGATAAAAGAAAATATAAAATAGTTAGATGAGAAATTAGAAATCGAATGAAAATTTATTGACATTAATAAAATTGCAAAAAATTTGATAATGTAAAATTAATAAAAATAAGATTGAAGTGTATAAGTAATCAAAAAATTAGTAATTGACATTTTAAATATGTAAGTTAAATTTTGAATGAAATTTTCAGGGTGAATTTTTGGAGGACAGTACAAAGACACATTTTGAAATTGGTCATAATGTTTGTTATGTGAAAGCAACAAGTAGTGGTAATAAGAAATTAGGATTTATCTATCAACTTTACATTAACAACAATGAAATAATCACTAGTGATAAATGATACCGATGAATTATCTATAATATACTATACAAATCATTTAAAATATATAATTTTCTTTTCATTTTGAAATTTATATAATAATTAATTGCAAAAAATATCATGCATTGTGCAATAAATTAATTAAATTATTCGAAATAAAATAAAAAATTAAAAATTTTAATAGTATTATTATATAGAATAGTCATCATCATCTGTTTCTGAATCAGCATGAAATTCGATTAAAACTGGTCCTTCAATTTTTGGCATATTTGATAAATCATTTTGATTTTCATTTTGTGATTGTCTAGCAATATTTCCATTTTCTCCTAATTCACGATTCAATTTTTCTAGGTATGTATATTCATTTTCATAATGCTAAAAAATTTTGCATAAAAAAAATAGCTATTGTTGCTTTACTTTTTCTTTTTTTAAATTGAAGCCTTTTTTAATTATATTGGTTAAATAATATTCGACTTCAAATAAAGCTAAATATTATTTTTTTGACCTTTGACTAAGTTAAATATTATTTTCACTTTATTTACTTCACATAATCATTATCTAAAGGAAATAATTATTATTTTATTTGTAACGTAATAATTAATGGTAATAATAATAATAAATAAATAATAGT